ATTTTTTTTAATATTTATCTATCATACACTGTTATTTAAAATAGAGGAGGTATATGCTTCGATGCAGAGTTCTTCACTTTCACCCTTACATGGCTAGCAAAATCACTAATGCATGCTGTGTGCTGCACAACATTGCATTAGATGCTAGAATACCACCTCCAAGTGATATGCCAGCCGAGGGTCTAGAAGGCAGTGAAGATCATGCTGTACAACATAGCACCTCCACCAATGATAACCAAAACGAGTTAACCCAGGCAGGGCTATGCGCAATCGCTTAGTTAGTATGATGTAATTTACGTAAATAAATAAATTTCCTATTAAATATTTAAATATTTTTATTAAGTCACTTGATAAACTCCATAAAATTTTAACCTTTTATAATTCGTATCTCTACTAAACATAATAATTATATTAATCAGCCTTTATATGTCAACTGCTGGGAACAAGACAAGCCTCACCTCAATAGGCCATAATGCAGCATTCTAGCTAAACGTAATGGATAATAAATCTCTATTAACTTTTATTGAGATAAAACTATAATGCCAATATGTATTACACACTGTCTATAAATATGACATGTCTATAAACAGATGAACCACGGGTACAGAAAGTTAACCGTGGAACACCTAGGTAAACTACTTGGGTCTTCCATGGGTCAGAACTTTACTTACCTTAGGTAAATATTAGCAAAACTTAAAAATGCAAAATCAAGAATCAGTCTCGCAGTTACAGTTTAATAAAATTGTCATACAGCCTTTTGTTGCGGTCTTAAAATTGACCAATAAAAGAGGTAACATATTTAACGAACTCACTTCTTACGCCTAAGGGGTTCACAATAAGTTAAAACAAGCTTGGGATGCTCGCAAAAGTGTGAGCTTATTATAGTATGATTCGATCATGTAGTTTTATTTTTGGAAAGGCCCCAGAGTAGACGGTTCAGAAGATTTTTAGGAAAGCAAGTCTGCTCCGCCGCCCCATGCGTGTTGGCGAACTTCATTAGTCTTAGAAAAAAAACTTTTCAAATTTGTCAAATATGTAGGTTTCCTAAAGACGTTTTCTTTCTACACCGTAGGTAGTCAATGGATTAAATTTGATGTTTTCTGCGATCCATCGACAATTTTCTGTGCTAAGTTTACTACTATACTGACTGTATTGTACCTGATTTATTTTCTTTATAATTGAATACAAAACCTGTTCATAAGAATTTAAAAAGAGAAGGGGACATAATATGAAGACATCTCTCATTTAAAATTTGAATCACAAGTACGCGTATTTGAATTGTATATATATAACCCTTTTTGTACAATTTTTCTTTAATAAAACATTTAAACTTGTTAAATGACAAATTTTGTACATTTTCTGGGATTTTGTTTTAAAAGCGTATACATTGCCCCATAAATGAATTACTGATTCTGTGGAGTCTAGTTACTGGTATTACAAACATATGTTTGTTTCTAGTGTTTAAAGTATGAACATCTTTACTCTTATGAAAGCTATTTATGTTTTTATGTATATACATTTTCATAAATATATTGCGATGCCAAAGTTAATATGTTTATTTCCTTAAATTTTTCTCTAAGCGAACAAATATGACTCCACTGTCAATTGCATTACCCCATAGTAAGACTTCATAAGACATTATGCTATGAAAGTAACTAAAATAAACTAATCTTGCTGTCTCAACATTGGTTTGACTTCTAATCTTTCTTACAGCGTATGCTGCAGAACTAAGTCTACTTGCTAATTTTGATTACTATAGCAATGGGCAATGCAGCATGGATCTACCATGTACAATTTTTTATACATGGTACAGCCATGCTGCAGTTATATTAATAGTACATGTAGCATAAATGGGTCTGCTCGACTGGGGAAGATCCACGCTCTCACAAAATACCAGCGTGAAATAGTAGCTTAATGCTGCTGTGTTTCCTATGGTGAGTGATGAGAACCGGAGACCGTTTTTACTGGAAACGAGGCATTCCATCTTAGTCCTCACGGGTGACAACGCATCTGCATTTTCATTTGTAATCGAGGATAGATGTAGATGTCTATGGGCCGCAGCAACCACGTACCATCAGGTGGTCAGGTGTCCTCCTTTGTGAAACAAAATGGGGACAACACAATCGTCGAACACACAGTGTTCAGCGGTTATGTTTTGTCCCTACTGCGATAATAACCAAGCCAAGCTTGAGCGACGTCTACTAAGGACCTAAAACCTTGATTTCGTTCGTGCTCAACCTCCAACGCTCGCAAGACGCGCTCGTGTTGTTGATTATTCCGGGCTTCCTCCAGCTCAAGGCTTCGTAATTCCACGGCCGTAAACTCGCTAGCCACTCTCTCGAAAGGGGTGGGTGCCCGTCTACGGCGGGCGTACAAACGAGGGCGGTCGGGAAAGGCAGCAGACTGCGGTGTCGCTGGCCACCTCAACCGCGGACAACGCCTGGCAGATGGAGAAGTAGCAGACGCGCGGGGGGCAGATGGCCGCCTTCGCCTTGGAGTAGTGGGCGCTGCAGGGGCTGGCGGGGATTGCGCTGCCGGGGCTGGCGGGGATGGGGATGGAGCTGGTGGGCATGGGGCTGGTGGGGATGGCTGTGAAGTGGAAGGTTGTGGTGAAGAAGTCAGTTGAGTTTCTGCAAAAGAAAATGAGCGTTATTATGGACAATTTACGATTACCTCCTTTGTTTGTTGAAAATGTTTTCTTAAATCAAATCCTCTTAATATTTTAAAATCTAAAGGTTAGGATGTTTGTTTGTTTCTCACTCAATCACTCAAAAACGGCTGAATTTTATTGAACATTGGCACACAGATATATGCCCAGCACAGTCAACAAATTAGGATTGTCAGGGTGCTCGAATAGATGAGGGTCTTGTTGATCCTCTCCTGTGAGGTCCTTCAAAATATGAGGGGAGTTCGACAACCATTTGCGCAACTCATAACCTCCTAACTTCAGGATGGCAATCAATTCGTCTCGCAATACAAGAGCCTCCTCGACGGTGGAGGCGCCCGTGCGAATATCGTCCATGTAGACCAAAGTCTCCGAAATAGAAGTCCCTCGAGCGTATCTTAGACGCTTTCTCTCAGCGAGTTCAAGGAGAGTTCGCATGGCGATATACGGGCTGGACCGGAGTCCGTAGGTGGTGGTGTTCAACTCAAATACTTGTATCGGATCGCTGGGCTTCTCGCGCCACAATATCAGCTGATATCGACAGTCATCACGATGGACCACTGATTGTCTGATTGCGCTGAAAACAACTTGGTGCCGACGGAAGTGGGTCAAAATGTCGGATATGTCCTTAATCAATTTAGGACCAGAGTGGAGACACTGGTTCAGGGACACACCATTTGGCGGAGCCGTCAAAAACTACCCGAATCTTACTCCCAGGGGTCCTCAAGACCGCATGTTGGGGGAGGAAGTAGTGCTCCTGTGACCACCAGTCGAAGTGAGACGGTGACACGTGACCCAGCTCTTGATACTCGCGCATGAACTCGACATACTTGTCGCGAAAGGCTGGGTCGCGCCGCATATGGCGCTCCATAGAAAGCAAGAGGTTGCTTTTTGTGGGCCAATCTCGTACTCTGGCCGAAAAGAGGCTTTTCAGCCAGAGTACGAGATTGGCCCAAAGGGGGCCGTGAGTCAAGAAAGGGTAATCGGGTGACAAAACGACCGTTGACACGGCGACCGGTGTTGTTCTGGTAGAACAACTTGCACTCACGATCCAGAAGGTTGACTCGAGGCGCGTGTGGTGGCTCCTCAATTTCCCAGAACCGCTGGACGACGTCCGAAAGGGACACGCCCACCACAGAGAGCGGGTCGGCCGTCTGAGGTAGTGGAGACCACAGAACCGGTCCAAAGAAACTGTGCCCAAATACAGTGGACATGGCTGACAAGCCATCGGGCTGTAGGGCTCGTATCTCGCCTAACAGGATGAACCCTGAGGACCCTTAACTGTGGCCGTCGGCAATAAAACAGTATGACAAGTGGACTGTGGACGGCTCAAAGGATCAGTGAAGGCGGCAGTGGTGGGAGCTAGGCTGGCAGCTTCCTATCTGGAGCTGCCTCCATCGGACCAGCACTCAAGCCCGGGGTCCGGAAAGCGGCATTCCGGTGGCATCTCACTGACCCGTGGGTGGAAATCACCGGACGGGCCGACCTGGGGAGCTTCGGGGAACCTCGGCCTTGAGGCCCGGGACAGTTCGAGGTCGCAGGAAGAGTAGTACCGGTACCGACCAAAGGGGGGGGGGTATTCCAGTCGCGGCCTCTCAGCCAACGGGAGTGAGAAGGGTCTCTCTGACTGCTGAGTGGCCGTAAAGTTCCTCTCAACCCGCTGAGGGGGAGTGACCCCCCGTCCCTGGGGGAACGACCCGCCCGACTGGTCGTGGGAGGTACCCTCCAAAACCAGGGACAAGGTTGCCGTCAGGAGAGTGACGAGCGTCGCCCGACAGAGGGCCCGGCAGAGCCCCGAGAGGCAGCGCCGTTATCACCCAGACACAAAACGGCGTGGTGATTGCTCTGGCAGTGCGGACAGGGCCCGCCTTTCACACCGGCCCCTTGGCAATGGTTCGTCTCGCTGGGACCGGCTTATCTAAGAATTTCGGGCAAATCGTCACCCGGTGATCTGATGCCCGACAGTAGGAGCAGAGGGGCACCTCCCTGGCTACTAGGCCACTATAAGAGGGTAGGGGGCGGCGCCCTCCCGCGGGAGCTCCACTCGTTCTGAGGAGGGTTGACGACGACTTGCCCGGGGCGTTGCGCCTCTCCCTGGGCACGATTCGTTCGGCAGTCCGTAGGTCATCGATGGTGCCCACTGCGTTCTCAATCTGCCTGCACTGCTCCTCCAGGAACCGCAGCAGTTACGTACGTACGTTACCAGCATTGGGTTAAGAGCTCTCACGACAGCCCGATTTCGCTTGCTTAGGGGTATGCGGGGAAGTCGCGATCGCTTTTCGGGAGGCATTCTGCCCGTTTCCGAAATCGCCTTTTCCAATATACTCCTCATTTGCTACAGTTCGTGGGAGACCATTTCATCATCGTCCGAATCAACCACAACTGCAAGATGCATGGCGGCTTTCACGCGTGGATGGTCTGTCGCCTGAGAAGCCGCATCCCCAGCCGTAGCTAATTCATTCGATGAGGGAAAGGCCTCACGTCGTAGTCGTTCGAGCTCGGCATCATCAAATATTTTCGAGCGCATGATGTATCGAACTCGGTCTGCCAGGTTTTCTTCCGTGACGAGAATAGATGGCTCCAGCTCAGCAAAAAAGCAATGCGTACGAGACCGACACGCTATCCCTGCAGTTTCTTCCCCTTTCGCCTTATAGTACGTCCGCAATGCGTTTGCGTTCATATTCCTTGTCCAACGCATGCGGCGCACTCCACCAGCGGCGGATGCCGCTTGCCGAGTCCGAGAGGACCCTGCCGACATCAAGCCGTCTGGTGGGGATGCTGGATGCGGGGGCTGCTAGGTGATCTTGCAGGCCCCCGCATTTATATTATTATTGGGGTATCTATATAATTTTCTCACCTGGTTGGGTTCTATAAATATATAATTACAAATTAAAATTAAAAGATAAATATACATAAATATCAATAAAATAAAATAAATACAAAAACTACATAAATAAATAAGATTCAACCAGATGGGAGCCCTCGGCAGGGGAGACCAAACGGCCGAGGGTTAGGGGGAAAGAAAAAGAAAACGGCGGACGATGCGGGCGGTATCGAGGAGCACCGCCTTCTGCATTTGAGCCCGGAGCGGTCCGTTACGGAGTCCCAGTCGCCTCAGATGACCCGAGAGGCTGACTGGGATTAGCCCATTCGCAGAGACGACTACAGGAATAATTTCGGTCAGCATACCACCCCACATGTCGGTCACCTCGTGAACCAGGTCCAGATATTTTGTTCGTTTATCAGTTTCGGCTTTCACGAGGTTCTCGTCATACGGAATGGTAATGTCGATCAAAAATATCCTTGACTGTGCCCTGTCCATCAACATAATATCAGGCTTATTCGCAAGAATAGTCCTGTTTGTGATGATGGCCCGGTCCCAGTAGAGCCTGGCGCGGTCATTTTCGAGCACGGCTTCCGGCAAGTACTTGTAATACGGCAATTTACGGTCCACGAGACCGTATTTCAGAGCGAGATCCTGGTGTAGAATTTTGGCTACTAGGTTGTGCCTGTGCAAGTACTCAGATTTAGAAAGCGCCAAACAACCGGAGATGACAGCCTAAGTGACTCCCCGGGATGGCGACAAGCTCGACAGACGTCGACAGTGCCATCCTTTAGGATGTATCTCCGATAGTTGTTGGTCTTAATAACCTGATCCTGTATTGCACAGACAAAACCCTCGGTTTCCCCGAAGAGGTCACCGAAACGTAGCCAGTTGAGGGAGGCGGCTGTATCTACGTGAGGCTCATGTAGAGCCCTGTAGTACCATCCGTGGAGCTCCTTCTCCTTCCATACGGTCTCCCGGTCGGAAATGCTCTGTACTGCCGGGTCTTGCCATTGCTCGTTGGCTAAGGATAGAGTGGTAAGTCCTTTATCACTAGAAATGACGTCATTATAGAATGGATCATCCGATCTCGCCAGGAAGTAATGACGGAGGCTTCACACTTCGCGATTATGCATGGTAAGCGCGCTCAGGAAGCCACGCCCACCATGCTTTCTCGACAAGTACAGCCTCATTACCGACGATCTCGGATGATGCATCCTATGGGACGTCATTGTAGTGCGGACTTTTCTATCCAGGGCGTTAAGTTCAGTCTGACTCCACCTGAGTAAGCCAAAGGTATACATGAGGACAGGCACGACCCAACCGTTATATGCATGTGTCTTATTCACACTGGACAAAAGGCTGTTAAGAACTTTGGTCAAGCGTGCATAAAACACGTCGCAAACTGACTGTTTCATACCAGCCTCATCGATACCGATGTTCTGTGACATACTCTGGTATCGGTATATTTCAGCCTCGGAAAGGGCTCTTAAGTTGACGGGCATAGATAAGTCTATGCCCTCAGAGTTAGCAACCGTTCCCCTTTCAACATGGAGGACCGCACACTTATCCGTCCCCAGATCCATTCTAATAGAATTGCTATATTCACAAGTGATGTTAAGCAATTCCATAAGATGGGAGCGACTGGAAGCGAATAATTTGAGGTCATCCATATAGAAAAGGTGGGTCACTTTTGTACCTCCTTTTCGAAGCTGAAATCCCCCTCCCGGAGACCTCCAGTAAAGTACTGAGAGGGTTCAAAGAGAGGCAGAACCAGATTGGACTCAGACAGTCGCCCTAGAATATACCCCTTCTTATCCTTATGCGGCTTTCCGCAGCCGTCATCCGCTCGCCTAGATGACAGAGGATCGTACTCCACTGCCCCATACACTGCTCGAGGAAGTCTCGAACTGTACAGTCAATCTTGTTCGAGGACCGAGACCGAGGACGAGGAATCTTTAGCCATGTATGGGGCACCGAGTCAAATCCCTTTCTGTAATCTATCCAGGCGGCGGAGAAGTTCCGACGGTTGCGTTTCACCACTTTGCCAATGACCGCGTCAATGAGGAGTGGTTCCTTGGTTCCACGACCACCGCCCCGACATCCCTGATTTTAGTCCAGGTGACGAGCGATTCTCGCGCTCAAAATGGATGTTAGTGTCTTGTATATGGTTGGTAGACACCTGATGGGGCGGTATTTGCTCGGGGCTGTGGCACCCTGATCTTTAGGAACCAAATGAGTGATGCCAGTAGTGAAGAGGCTTGGGAGCGACTTCTGGTTGACAGCCTCTTGAAACTGTCGGGCGAGCACAGCGTGACATACCATGTACCCCTTCAGCCAATAGTGATGCAGCCCGTCAAGCCCCGGACTTTTCCAGTTCGGGGCCCTACGGACCGCCTCAGCTACGTCATCCGGCGTAATGATGACGGGGTCCATGGGCGTAATACCCGCACACTGACTCGCTACAACTTCCGTCCAATGGCTCTCGTTGTGGTTTACGGGCTCTGACCACAGGCTGCGCCAGAATGCGACCGTATCGGCCTGATTTGGTGCTGGGCCCGTTCCACTTACTGTTGGTCGCTCCAATGATTTATAGAGCCTCTTCTGATCACTCTGGAAGAGACGATTCTGGTTGAACCGTGTCGAACTCACGGTATATCGCCGAATCCGCTTTCCCCAAGCAGCGATTCTTTGCTTCAGGTCATCTATGCGCTCCGTTAGTTTTTGCATTATATCCGGCTGAGACAAACTAACATTTGTCCAAGCAAACGCTATCCTGACGGTGCGCACAATCCTTGGCCTGGTATTGCCTGACCTGAAGCATATTAGTCTGCCGATGAGGGCCCTAGCCTTTGCGATACGTTCTTCAATCATTATTCTCCAGGCTGGGATAGTACTACTTTGTCCAGTAGCGCGTCCAGCCGTGGAAAGTTTGGCACCTATAATACGGCAGACTGCCAGTGCGGCGCCAAAATGAATTAAGTCCGTCTCGCAAAGGTCCCGGCTGGCTTCCAAATAGATAACCAGCATTGGGTTCAGAGCCCTCACGACAGCCCGATTCCGCTTACTGAGGGTTAAGCGGGGAAGTCGCGGTCGATTTTCGATTACGGGTGTACTGCGCGTTTCGAAATGCTATGCACGGCTTGCCATTGCTCGTTGGCTAAAGATAGAGGGGTAAGTTCTTTATCACAGGAAATGACGTCCTTATAGAATGGATCATCCGATCTCGCCAGGAAGTAATGACGGAGGCTGCACGCTTCGCGATTATGCATAGTGAGTTCGCTCAAAAAGCCACGCCCACCGTGCTTTCGTGGTAAGCACAGCCTCATTAACGACGATCTCGGATGATGCATCCTATGGGACGTCATAGTAGTGCGGAATTTTCTATCCAGGGCGTTAAGTTCAGTCTGAGTCCACCTGAGTATGCCAAAGTATACATGAGGACAGGCATGACCCAACCGTTATATGCGTGTGTCTTATTCATACCAGACAAAAGGCTGTTAAGCACTTAGGTCTAGCGTGCATAAAAAACGTCGCAAACTGACTGTTTCATACCAGTCTCATCGATAGCGATGTTCTATGATACACCCAGGTATCGGTATACTTCACCCTCGGAAAGGGTTCTTAAGTTGATGGGCATAGATAAGTCTACACCCTCAGAGTTAGCAACGCTCCGTTACGTCGCAACGCAACGTTAGCGTCCCCAGCTCCATTCCAATAGAATTGCTAAATTCATATAGGTATTCATATATTCCATAAGATGGGAGCAACTGGAGGTGAATAACTTGAGGTTGAGTACAACTACCATATAAAAAGGTGGGTCACTTTTGTACCTCCTTTCCGAAGCTGAAAACCCCTCCCGGTGCCCTCCAGTAAAGTACTGAGAGGGTTCAAAGAGAGGCAGACCCAGATTGAACTCAGACAATCGCCCTGGAAGATACCCCTTCTTATCCTTATGTGGCTTTCCGCAGCCGTCATCCGCTCGCCCAAGTGACAAAGGATCGTATCCGCTCGTTTGCTTCTTGCAACCACAGTTGCAAAAACAGAATCCTTAACTTTGCTCTTTGCAACTGTGGTTGCAAAGCGACGAAGTTCTTTTAATTGAATTAAGACAGGCTTTTAAACGCACATAGTCTAACTATTACATATTAAAACCAAAAACAAATATATATATATATCATAGATTTGGATCAAAATTACCAACCTCTTGGACGAAAAATATCGAAACTTTGTTAGTTAAAGTTTATTGAGTGAAGTGACGCTTGAGTGAATTTAACGAGGTGATAAAATATGCCATGAATGTTGAATTTTATTGATTTTTGCTAGTATTTATATACCAAATTATTATCTTATTAGTTTTTTCTTGCATTAAAGTAATATTTTTGCAAATATTGTATGAAAAATGTGATAAAGTCGACTTTTAAAAACACTCAGAATGGCGCGAATCTAAACATAATTTTCTATAGCTTACATTATCGTAATTATGTGGTATTCTTTAAATACGAAAAAGTCGTAGTGGTATTTGAATATAATTATTCAATTTAAGTAATAGTTTTATAAATTGTTCATCACACTCGTATTATAACATATGTTTTTATGTAATAACAGTCTAGATTGTAACTAACTAATAGCGATCAATTGCGCAATCCGTGAATTCTTCATCAGGATTCACTAAATATTTTTACTATGTATTTAAATATAAATTGTTTTATAATATAGATAAATATATCAAGTAATTCATTAAGTTTAAGGATATAATAAATAATCATACACTTATCGATCTTATTTTTTTGATAAACCCGATGTTTTACAAAGAGTCGCTAAAATGGCTTGTACTTATGATTTCAACACCTCCAAAATATTATTTTAATCATATTTTGATAGAATAACATACGTATTTTCTTTTCTTATTTCAATGGCTATTCATGCAATTTAAAATATTTGAAGTGCTCCTCTCGAGTAAGTCATAAATTAAGTTTTATTGACGGCGGGTCGAACGTGAGAAACACAGTCCCGACTTACTGGCAAAGTAAGCTACCTTTTTTTCCTTTTTGTCCACTGCCCCAGTGCTGCCCCACTGCTCAAGGAAGTCTCGAACTATACAGTCAATCTTGTACAGCTCGAGGACCCTCTTTAGCCATGTATGGGACACCGAGTCGAATGTTTTTCTGTAGTCTATCCAGGCAGCGGAGAAGTTCTGACGGTTGAGTTTGATCACTTTGCCAATGACCGCGTCAATGAGAAGTGGTTCCTTGGTTCCACGACCACCGCCCCGACATCCAGTTTGGGCGCGCGACATCACCTGATTAGAGTCCAGGTGACGATTGATTCTCGCGCTCAAAATGGATGTTAGTGTCTTATATATAGTCGGTAAACACGTGATGGGGCAGTATTTGCCCCATCACGGTATTTTATCTATAGTATCCTGGTCTTTAGGTACCAAATGAGTGATCCCAGTAGTGAAGAGGCTTGGAAGCGACTTCTGGTTGAGAGCCTCTTGAAACTGTCGGGCGAGCATAGTGTGACACACCACAAACCCCTTCAGCCAGTAGTGATGCAGCCCGTCGAGTCCCGGAGTTTTCCAGTTCGGGGCCCTAAGGACCGCCTCGGCTACGTCATGCGGCGTAATAATGACGGGGTCGATGGGCGTTATACTCGCACACTGACTCGCCACAACTTCCGTCCAAGGGCCCCCGCTGTGGTTTACAGGTTCAGACCACAGGCCGCGCCAGAATGTTACAGTGTCGGTCCAATTCAGTGCTGGGCCCGTTCCACTTATCATTGGTCGCTCCAATGATCCATAGAGCCTCTTCTGATCACTCTGGAAGAGGCAATTCTGGTTGAACCGAGTCGACCTCTCGGTATATTGCCGAATCCGCTTTCCTCAAGCAGCGATTCTCTGCTACAGATCATCTATGCGCTCCGTCAGTTTTTGCATTATATCCGGTTGGGAAAAACTGACATTTGTCCCAGCAAACGCCATCCTGACGGTGCGCACAATTCTTGGCCTGTTATTGCCTGATCTGAAGCATATCAGTCTGCCGATGAGAGCTCTAGCCTATGCGATACGCTCCTCAATTCTTTTTCTCCATGCTGGGATAGCGCTACTTTGGGCAGTAGCGCGTCCAGCCGTGGAAACCTTGGCGCCTATAATACAGCAAACTGCCAGCGCGGCGCCGAAAATAATTAAGTCCGTCTCGCAAAGGTCCCGGCTGGCTTCCAAATAGGTCACCAGCATTGGGTTCAGAGCCCTCACGACAGCCCGATTCCGCTTGCTTAGGGCTATGCGGGGAAGTCGCGATCGATTTTCGAGAGGCGTACTGCGTGTTTCCACAATCGCCTCTTCCTATGTACTCCTTCAACCAAAAACCAAATTTTGTGTTAACATTTATTATTTTTAAGCCATAATCACATATCTAAAAAGAAAATGAAATCAAAATATACCTATAGGTATTCTTTGGTTTCCACAAAGAACCAAATTGCAATGAAGGGAAGGGATAAAATTAAGAGCTGATAAATAAAGATACTTAATCTTATATATCATATACTTAATTCTTTACATATGATATGATGTATAATAAATATAATAATAATAGCACTTAATTCGAATTAGGGTACCTACTTACAAAACAATTATAAGACTTTACAGTAATACATCCCATTATTTCGTTGTCACTTGGCATAGCCTTCCTCTAACATTCTCCATTTAATTCGTATAATAAATAAGGTATATTTTATTTTATTTATAAATACATATATCGTTTCGATAAATTTTGTTAACCACATAGTTTTATATTATTATGATTAGAAATTTTCCAGCTGCTTACCATTTGAACATTTAGGGAATGATATCCTTTTCTATTAAAAACATATTCTTCCTCAACCACCAGGCATATTACATGTCCTTTGAAATCTGTAAATTATTTAACAACTTTATTTAACATTGTATGAAACTAAGAAAAGAACTATATAAAAAGTACTCTGTGCTCATTCCTCCTTCTGCTTTAGAATGCGCTTACGTGTAGATGGTTTGAGATTTAAAATTTTCGGTTATAGTAGTTGTTTTAATTTTTATTTACTATTGTAATTAATGTAAAAGTTTATTTAAATGTGCATTGTTATTTTCTCTTATGCCATTATAAGCATTACTGGTGAAGAAAAACACTATTCAGTCTCTATTTAAGGGTCCTTTTTATTAAGTTATTACATAATAAGCTAACATAACAACATCTTATTGTGACCACATCAATATTAAAAATCTTTAATGTTTTAAATAAATTGATTGTCTTGGCAATCGCACTAAACATTCTTATATAGTATAATGTGTATTACTTGTGAGATACATTGCGTTTTCATGCGATGGCTTCTAATGGGTGTTTTTTAGAGGTATATAGAGGTATGTATAGAACTTTAAGTTGGCAACACTTTTTTAACTGGCAGCCATTTTGTCAGATGTCAAGTGATTTATGTATAGTTTGGTTTGGCATTTCAACATGAATAGACTGACGCCTGAACAACTCTTCCAAATTATGCAAATTTATTTTGAAAATCATGGTTCTGTTCGAAATACGTATCACGCATTACGTTCATTTTACGGTCAACATAATCGTCCATCGGAGCAATTAATTCAATTAACTATGGGACGTTTTCGCGCCACGTTTACTCTAAATGATAATACGCATCCACAGAGATGTCGTACAGTGCGTACAGAAGAAGTCATTGCTGCTGTAGAGCGTAGCGTAGGGGAAGATCCGAATCAGTCTATCCGCCATCTTCCACAGGAATTGGATATGTGTCCATCCACTTTATGGAAGATTTTGCGAAAAGTTATTGGTTTGCGTGCTTACAAAATCCAACTCGTGCAAGAATTGAAGCCTCGCGATCACCTAGCAAGGCGTAGATTCGGTGAATGGGCACAAAATAAGATTGCCGACGATCCCGATTTTCATAAGCGAATTTTGTTTAGCGATGAAGCTCACTTTTGGTTGAATGGATATGTCAATAAACAAAACTGCCGTATTTGGAGTGATGATAATCCTCAACTGTATATTAAGACACCTGTTGGCGACGCGCCTATAAGAATATTTCAGTTTATTAAGTCAACCGATGACGAATAACGTCTCAAAGGCATATTGTCCAATAGCAATGTTCTAATAAGAAAATGCTTAGTTAAATCTTGAAGAAATGTGGAATTAATGATATGAAGGTCTTGGGTTCGACTCCCAGGCCGGACTAGTTTATTGTTTTCCTAAGTAATATCTTTCAATAAATTCATATAGGGAATTTTAAGATATAAATTATGTTACCGGATTGGTTCTCCGGTTGAAATCATCTTTCCAATGATGTAAATTTAAAAGAATAATTAAATAAAGTTAAAGATCGGATTTGTTCCCCGGTCGAGATGATCACTCTGTGCATAAATAGAATTAACGGAAATTAATTGCATAAGTATTGTTTTATATGAGTTTGATATGTTTTGTACGAAAACAAATGGCTATTTGTCATGATTGATTTATGAAAACATTCACTTATATTGTTTGATAAGAAACATGATAACTGATAAGAATCTGATTAGAAATAATTTCCTACAGTTTGAAAATTGTGTAGATGCATTTATTCACCCAATATTGTTAAAATTGGTGTATATCAGACTTTCATTTTTTCTGATAGCCGAGAGCCGTGCAAAAGTTAGTTGTTCAAATAGTGTGAGTTCATAGGCGCACGCTGGCCACGCCCTTAGGAGGCCGAATATGTAAAAATTTAAAATGTTTGTAATTTCAGCAATTTATGTAAAAATGACTTGTAAAACATTTCAGGTTAATTGTACGTGCTAAAAAGGTGAATTCTGTGTTATTTTTATGTGAAAATTCCTGTGTATAAGTGAAATAATGATAGTTTTGTATAAGAAATTTAAAAGTGTTTTAAATAGTGAAATAAATAGAGAAAATGTAAATTAAACTATTGTATTAGTTAACTTATGTATAATTTCAAGTGGAAAACATTGTTTTAACTTTCTGTGTTAAATATTTAAGAAATTTCGACTTCGAACTTGTGAGTAAAATAGGCATATTTAATTTAATAAATAAAAGGTTTTTTGTGATATGAAAATGTAATGTATATCGTAGTGTAGATATTGTTTTGTGCTATCTTTACAGATAAATTGTATTGATGTAAGACTTATGCAAATAAAGTAACTAAGTAAAACGTGAGAAAGTAATAGAACAAATTCATGTAATTGAGTTGCGCAAGCGCGCGAATGGCGCGGCTCACTTTCGCGTATAGCTCTGGGGTAGCTTAGTGAACGGGTTTTATTGCAATTCGTTCGGGAAAAAAGTTCGGGGAAGTTCGGGAATCCTTCGAGATAGTTCGGGGAAAAAGTTCGGAAATCATACCAGCAGTCAATAAGAAGAAGAAAGAAAAAGTGTAGGGAAGTGATAGGGAAAAGTGATTACTCTCTCACGGAATGGTTTGAAGATAATTGCTGTTTTATTCCCAAGAAATTCATCCCTCAAGTTATACAGTCCACAACGAAGAATTAAGGCGTTGGGACCGGGACGACTTCGGAAGACCCGTAATCCCCGTCTGAACCTACTTGCTGAAAAGGAAGAGGTTATCGCCCTTGTGTGTTACTCCGTTGCGGAGATCACATACGTTGTTCCCGAACCCAACGTAGGCGTTATAGGAGGCCGGATCGAGAGAAGCCTCGATTCCTCCCTTCTGTTTCTTAGTTGAACGTTTGAATAAGCTGCGTTTCCTTTTCAATTGGTCCTTCGCGGCCGGATTGAGAGGACGCCCGAACCTGGGTTCCTTTTCAACACCGTTACATCCAGAGAAACTGACTGTGTGGTGTGCTTTATGGGCTGGTGGAATAATTGGTCCGTACTTCTTTAAAAACGAGGCTGGCCAGAACGTTACAGTCAATGGTGACCGCTATAGAGCGATGATTACTGACTTTTTTGTTCATCAATTGAACAACCATGATGTGCAGTAGTTGTAGTTTAAACAAGACGGCGCAACATGTCACACAGCTCGTGCTACAATTGATTTATTGAAGGAAACGTTTAGTAACCGCATAGTTTCACGTTTCGGACCCGTGAATTGGCCTCCAAGATCGTGCGATTTAACGCCGCTTGACTATTTTCTGTGGAGATATGTGAAGTCGCAAGTCTACGCCGATAAGCCAATTGAATAATGACCAATTGGAGGACAACATTCGGCGCGTTATGGCCGATATACCGCCACAAATGTTGGAAAAAGTCATCGAAAATCGGACCTCCAGATTAGACTACGTCCAAGCCAGCCGTGGCGGTCATATGCCAGAAGTCATATTTAAATTATAATGCCAGAAGATTGTCTTTCGAATAAAGTAAATTTCATATCAATAAAAAAAAAATCATGTTTGTTTTATTCCATTTCAAAGTTCTATACCTCTAAAAAAACACCCGATACTTCTTGAATACCAACAACGTACCCATCCACGATGATTCATTAACTGCAAATATGACTTTGTAATCCTTTATATTTATATATGGGATTACAAAGTTTTTTTTATGCTGTTGGTGTATCTAGAAAACTGAACCGAAATTGCAAAATATTTTAGTTTTTCCTTGATTTATACATTAAACACTAATTGTATTCTAAATTTGAAGCTTCTATATCTGCCAGAAGTGCCTTAGAATTTTGATGATCGGTCAGTCAATCAGTGAGTGACAAAATTAAGAAACTATTCTTAAACTACTGGTTGAAATTGGATGAAAATTGAAATATGCCGTGTTTATACAA